TGAGAATTTATCGAAAACAAACGTATGTTCGCCAATTTATCTTCTGAAACTTTCGATGGTAATTTTCGCAAAGTCAAAATAATATTCTTAAAAAAGGATTTTGGCAGTCAACGGTAACAACAAAAACTGATGTGTATTCGCGGGTTATTCAAAGACTATCCTCACATCAACGTTTTCCCTATTCCAATCCACATCACACATGATAAGTATGTTACACTTTGACATTTAATCAATTTTCACTAAACAGGAATCCAAAAGAAAACCTTCCTTACTTCCTTTGACGATTATATCAGTGATCCTTTGCTAAATAATGTATATAGTAATGAGTGCATCTCCGGAAATGCCCCTTTCGTGTACACCAGATATTATGCATTAATGATTGGGAGCCAATATTGCTGCTGTCGGCAAATACGACTCGATGTAATCTAGCATACCATACAGACACAATGGAAAATCAACGCAGAACTCTAAACTGCCGCAACGTTTTAGAGAAACCACATGAATGATACTGCATAGGTGGGCTCTAGCTTAAAAATAAATGCACAAACGCACTTACTTAATTCATAATGGATGCCAATTGAGAGCATTCTGCGTGTTTTGATAATTTAATAGATCGGGTTCTATCATTCTGGGCACCGGTTTAAAACCTAAGATAACTACCATTTAGTCCCCCTAATCTTCTGTAATCTCTTAATAATGTAGAAATTAGACATTTTTCAAAAATCTGAAATAGGTCTTAAGAACAGCAAGATGATTTTAGTTTCATAAACTTATATGCGTAACAGCGCTGTTCCCAATATATATATATAATTACCTATAATTGCCTAACTCCAGAACGGTTAGTTGGACCTCAGGTGCGTTGATCCAGACGAACTCCGTGCCAAAACTTCCATTTTTTCAGGAATTGCACAAACCGTGCAATTTGATAATCAGGTTTTTTCGCCATACGTTTACCGATAACACAGAGCACATCTATGAAACGCTTTTCTGCCTCACTGGGTGTCATCAGATGATGGTAGCTCACTTTCAGTGTAGCAGTGGAAATCGCCAACGCACCTGAGTTTCGAACTCGCGTCTCTTCGGCCAGAGGCGAATGCTCTAACCCTTGAGCCACGGGTCCGCCGTTTTTTCGGTTTGTGATCGAGAATATATATAGTATTGAGTATTTTCCACTGACTATCCTAATTTTCCAACCATAAAACCTTTTATCCACTGTTTTTGGAGGAACAAATGCTGGCACTAGGGATATAAAAGGTGTACTACATAAACTACTGTCGCCGATTGAATCATTGCAAAATGGACTGTCAACCAGAAATCGGGCGGAAAACTTATTCCTGTGACGTTCCCTGCAATGTCACACTTGCGTGCGCGTTAGGCGTAACCGCTTCTTCCTATGCTGTTTTTCATTCCCGCTGAAATATGTTCAAGGGGCAGTTGACTGTAACTACCCCTGCGCACTCTACAGCTGCGTAATTCCATCCATCGCGAATGCATTTTACGCTTTACATCCGGTTCCTAATTCGAAGGAAAGACGTTTTTTGGGAAAAAAAAGCTAACTTTATTAAGTAAATTTTCAACGCTGGCTACCCAGGTTTTCATCAGATTTCACAGTCCTTGCAACGAACAATGACAACTTTAAAAGTCCTGCAAAAAATTATCAGTCATCTGAACAAGGCAAATTTTATTTGCTACTCACAAATGTTCTCAGCACCCGTTTGTGTGAATGTCCACTTATGCGTTCTAGCAAGTATTGGGAAAATCCCACGAAAGAACGCCATATCACAGCGATGGCACATTTTCTTCTGATTCATACACGGTCAGATTTTGATTTGCAGCAATTAACCACGGCAAATTATACCACATGATAAGCACAGTGTACCATCTGTACTTCCAGTAACGATATATTCAATCACACCAGGGTACCTAATCGCACTATGTAGGCACTGCATATGATGCTACACCTGGAGTGCACTTAAAGCCAATGTGATAAAAGGATGAAAAAATAATTTCTTTTTTTCTGTGTGATGCATATTACCCTCTAAAAATGAATGTGAATACTGCAAGGATCCTAGTGCTTTCAAGTACAATAATTATTACCCAGTATAAAGGGAGCTATCGTGAAATTGGCTTACACGCCAAATTGCCTACACCGTTATTTAAGTAAGTCAAATTGCAATACAGGAGTTATTGGTAAGCACCGGCAGTTAAAGTAATTCAAATTGTCGAATATCACATATATCATTAAGTTCTTAGTCAAAATAAATTAGCCCGCAAGTGAATAGAACTATTCAGAGAATTCTGCACGATTTAGATAATAATTGTGAAGATAATAATAAGGGGTACATTTTTGAATCCTTAACATAGGTAAAGATACAATATACAGGGTGTCCCAGCAAATGTAAGCACATTCGAATTAATTGTTCACTCGGCGTTTATAATACTTTTTATTATTTCAAAAATGTAAAAAAAAATATCAAAAAGTATAAATGTATTGTTTTTTACTGCAACAGTGGCCGAATTAAGAGAAGCGATTAAACATAAATGCGCCCAAATGTCATTGCTTCGCTTTGCCAGCAGTGCTATGAGCAAAATAAACGTCAGTTCGAGAACAGTCAGTGGAAAAAAATACAGTAAAATGCTGCTGGTTACTACTTTTGTATTTTTTAAAATATAAATTATCATACATATTAATTTTACAATTGCTTAAAATGCGTATACACTCTTGGGATACCTCCTCTATAAGTAAAGCCACTATCAATCCCCCGTTCCAAGAGAAATTATAAATCTTACCCGAATGGACTTTGCCAAACAGGAAAATTGTTATACGGTGTTACGCACTTAAATTTGATTAATAGCCTGATGAATATGCACCCAGTATAATTGCTTCGAATTAAGGTGGCCCCCATTACACCTTACTCCCAAATAAAAACTAAAGTGTATTCTTGTTACCCCCGAGTCCGAAAATTCAAATTTGAACCGGCCAAAAATGAGGACACATATTTAATTTGTCTTTGTTCAAATTCACTTTTAGTATTTCCTCACCCAAAAATACTTCCGTGACAGACAAAATCAACCGTCACAAAACTGGAAGTTATCTCACGTCGTACAGAAAATATGAACACATGGAAAGTATTTCCACGTTTGTAGAAAAAAATGCAGGCAGTAAGGGAAACGCGTGAAGTGTATTCAAACAAAACGTAGTATTGTCTCCTTATGGATGCTGCGGTAAACGCATGCTGTTAAATTTTATTGATGACACACCTTTACTTTTAAATGTGACTGTAAGTACTGAGCAATAATTCTTAGTCAAAATTCCGGAATTGCAACATAAATGTCTGCTGACTTTCTACTCACCTCAGGTAGCAATGGACATGTCTGTTTCCTAGGAGCCTCCATTAGATATATCTGGTTAGGTCGGTGAAGAACGGTAACTGATTTGCTTAGGTTTTCCATATGACACGTTAAAAAAGGAAAGAAGATCAATATTATGGCAAAATAGGAGAGGTATACGTAGATTTGAAATAGACTGCCGCAGACCAAATAATGGCTGATAAATCTGTGTTTAATTGTTTAGAGAAATGGTCCCCACGCCTCATGCTATTCAAAATAGCATGTTGAATCCGGATACTGAAAACTGTGTTGCTGACCAGTCAAAATTGGGCGAGAGAGGTGAAATGGAACATGTAAGCTAATTGTACAGCTATACAGTTTTCGTGTGATTTTTGGTGGATCCTGCTGAATAAACGTTTAGGTAGGTCGTTTCTCCAAACAGCGCCTCAGTAGAATAAATGGTCGTCAATTTGGGAAGCTGAATATATACCCGGCTATATTCCCGTTGACTAGGCACAACAACTACTACGTTTAGTTAATCGTATGGTCACTTGCTGAAAACACCTTAATTCAATAAAACCTATTTTTTTAAGAAGCAGAGGTTCTGAAAGACTAAAATGCCACAAACGTCATTTTTCATTGTACATTTTAATTTGGAATTCTAGGTAATCATATTAATAAAGAGCTATCCAGCTTTGCCACCTTTATGTATAATCGCTAATATATTCACAAAAAGAAGATTCGACCACTGAAACAAGAGTTTAATTTTCCTGGCGTTTAGGATCCCGTCGGGAATTCTCGATTATAGATAATTGTTTGGTAATGTGAGCCATGCACAGATAGGGCTTATACATGCACAAATTGCACTGAATTTATAGTTTTTATCGGTCATTCGCGAGCGTACTGTATTTATCCCTTCCTATAGCCACCGCTTGTGTCTTAATTGGTTTGGTGATGGGCCCAAAAACCGCTCCGACGACAGTCAGCATAGTTTTCGCACAATTACCAAGCCTGCATCCGAAAATTTCAAGGAATCCGTAGTTGTTAGTGGGTCAAACGGAAGTGTTAAGCCATCACCGCAGCAATTAAGACTTAAGCGTTGGCTAACGGAGTGCATAATTAAATAACGCACGCGGATGATCACTACGAACTATAAATTGCGTGCAATCTATCCTACCATTATCTATGATTAAGAATTCATGACGGAATCCGAAACGCCGGGAAATTACAACTCTTGTTGCACTGGTCGCATCTTTTTTTCTGAGCCGTTTTATGGAATACGTATATTCATTGCTATTGTGAATATTTTATCGAAGAACCTTCTGCTTAATGAAGTAATGTTCAATGTTGATGATTGTCTTAGTTCGAATGAGTCTTATTGTACCCGAATACACTTACACCAGAATGGCGGCATACATGCCCCTGATATTTTTGTAACGTAGCACACAGTTCTCCAAGGTGTTGATATGACACTACGTAGTGCTCCTAAAATAGTGAAATGGCAGTGGTCCCTGTTGTACAACTTGTTCGGTGCATGCATCAAAAAACAAAATCATCACTTTTTGTCACCTTATTTAACTATTTTTGGGAGTTATCGGTGGTGTTATTGTCATTTTTTCCAGTGCATATTTACGTTGGACAGTTCCGATGGTATCTGATAAATGCATGCGGACATCTCTGCCTATCCACGACTAGTTCCGCTTACCTCTTATAATCCAATTTTTCTGTTTTACTACACAAACGCGAACTATGGCTTCAAATTGGCTTGCGGCCACACATAGAGGCAGGTAAATATTTTGCCCGTAGAAGGTTTTAGAAGAATGATGCACCAACCATACCTTCTATTTTAAAACACTTATAACTCTAACTGCACCAGTGACGGTTGCCGAATACACAGCATGATATTCGGTAAGTGAGTCAGTTTTAAAATGACCTCCATCCATTAGGGTGATATTAAAAAAATCGAATTAAAATTGATGTGAATTTTTCGATATACCCTTCAAGACTATGGACGCGGCATCAAAAAATATCAAACACCGTAGACCTTTGGAAGGGCGTAGGAAAAATAGTCCATATACAAATGCATAGACATTGGGGTGTCAACATTCTTCTATCCAGTACGAGAATCTTAAGCATCAAATGTTGCAAACAACTTTCATGCTTTTATGCATAAGGCAGGCCTTACGTGACAGCACATTCACAACCGAAAATGACTAACCAGACTAATTATGTTATGAATGTCAAAAAAAGTCTTTATTCCTATTATTTAGGGATTAATGACTGCGGAAAGCATTTGTGTAGCATACGTATTAATTGCTCCCTATATTTATCCACCGCATACGCCCACAATCGAGTGGTTTGGTAGGTAACGCAAGTCGACAATTATGTACCGTATAGGATGAAGTTAATTTATCATGTTGTAACGGTAGCCAAAGCCGTGATGTCACCGCCCTATTCCGTCTGGTGTGAGGCCTCAATGAAGAACACGACAAGAAGAGTGCGAAAGTTGAAATCAGAGGGTTTAATTGGTAGCGTGCCGTGAGCGCGGCTCGCTGTTGCGTGCTAGCTGACTATTACATTTTCGTTAGGCTCCTCCTAACATACCGGGATCCAATGAGCAAACAAAGGTCTTTTTGCATAGACGTAGGTGGCACCCACTTGTGTACGAGCTCGGCCACCTAGAGGATTGAGGAAATGAGCCAATACAACAAACATTTTACCAACACATGCATATATAAGCCACGGGAGTAAATTCATTCACAATTTACAAGTGACAAGGGCAGAACTGTTCCAGGCACATTTGGTAAGCCTATTACTTTAAAGTAGAATTGTGAGTAGCTGGTTAAATGACATTTATCTGAGCACTTAACTATCGTGTATATACTCATCCCTTTCATATTTGAACTTTTAGATCACAACGATGAAGAATTTCTCGTACAGACTTGTACTCTACTTGACAATTATCTCTGTTGGTGTGTATTTTTTTCTTATGCAATATTTTACTTAATAATATGTTGAAGAAGACTAGAAAACTAACCTTTTTTTCATTTTATAGTTAACAATAATGTTGAAGTAAACGCCCAAGAACAAGGAAACGTTACGAACACACCAACTGGCCCATCTAGTAGCGCCGCTGCCAACAACAATGACACCACCGCTGCCCCCACCAATACCAACATCACTGGCACCACGTCGGGCGCTTCAGGACTCGCGATGCTTAACCTCTGTCTATGTTTGCTTCCGATAGCCATGTTTGCTTAATTGCACTATATACCAATGGTATCGGCGCTTTTACGCTAACCGTATATGCTAATAAATTTACTAAAGCAGGACATCTGGATTGTTTGTTTTTTTCTCCTTCACATATGATACACATTTTCGCCTTTATTTAAGGTACGTTCAACCTGAGAACGCATACCATGATTTATGTAGTTTCAAGAATATTATAAATCGCAAATGAGACCGTATATAGGTAAAGGTGCTATAGGGCTTGCAGCAGCATCACTTAAGTAGGGAGATTTTTTAACTACATTTGCATTCGCTGAAACATTATATTGAACATGTGGCTCATTTGGTGACTGCATTTACCAGAATTTTGATTGGGTTTCGTAAAACGTACCTACCACGGATTGCGTATTTTTCCATTATCCGAGCAGGACTTAATCCAACGTTTGGAACTTGGCTTATTATACGTTCAGTTTTCACAATTAGACAATGTTAGACAAACTACATCAAGCGCTTGATCGATAAAGCATTCATGCATTGGAAAGTCTAGAGAAAAGTTTATGTGCCGTCTCAGCTAAAGTAGCAAGTGTTTGCCAGAGGTGTAGATGTAAAATTTATGTTTTCTTCAATTATGCAGTAGCATTGATTCATTGGTTGCTGCTAAGGCATAAGCATATGTGATTTTACAAAGCACAGTAGGTGTGAAGAAGTGCCTTCCCCACTAGATAACTTTCGTCATCTCTATTTATAACGTACGGTCAATTGTGTAAATGAGGGAGTGTAGAAAAACGCATTTTAGTGTGCATATTACACACATTTGGCATTGCTGTATCGTGTTCGTTGAGTTTAATTGAGACACAAAATGCTGTATACTAGAAACGGGCCTTGTTAAGATAAGTAAATTGGGTACAAATAGGGGCGGAATTGGGTCAACTCAAACGTCCGGTCATATCCAAGAACCGTTCTAGGCTATTTAGCGCTGTAGGAAAAACCTCCTTTTTGTGTGTTTTCATATAAAAAAACCTTAATACAGAGCAGCAATTTTTTAAGTATGTGAAATTAAAGAAAATAAAATGTTCTTTCGCGTTTATGAAATTGAGTTGTGGTCATATGACATAACACAATGCTATAGGGAAAAGAAGAGCGGACTAAGTCTCCAATATTTGCTCTTGCAAATCTCCTACGTTTAGTGGAAAAACTATTAGTGCAAAAAGACCGTAATTTATTTTACCACGCCCGAATTTGGGCTCGTAATCAAGGCTGTTTAAAAAGCATCATGAAATGTCATCAACTTTATGTTTTACACTTCATGCGAAATTTTTGTAAACACTAGCCATCATCAGAGCAGAATTACTGAATCGAAAACTTAAAACGGAACGGGATGAAGATTATAATTTTCTTAACATTTTCTTTGATTATCGACCACTCTGTTCTGCTCTTGTTATCTTATGATGGGACCCAGATGTGAACAAATACAAAATAACTGATCCGGTATAACTTTAAGAAATTATTTTCTTTCTTTTTAACAGATATCATATCCCAATTTAAGGGGAGGTCGAAAAGTTGGTCAAAATTTCCCATTTTTATTTTGACATTTTTTTTAAAAAAAGGCTGAAGTACACGGACATTTGACAAATAGTATAACATAAAAGCGTCTTTTTCAAAAGTTTGCTTTTAATATTATCCATTATAAATAATCTTAGGCGTAATCATTTGCGATTTTTGCCAGAGCTGTTCATTTTTCTCGGCAATAAGTTAACATGTTTGGGTGAATCTAAAACCCTCACCCAAACAGGAAGCTTCATAAGAAAACAATTTAAAAAACGCATTACTAAGGTAAATTATGATTACAAATTCGTCAGTTTGAAGTTTTTATTGAACATGTAGAACGTTATCGGCATATAGGGATGATCAAATAAAAATACTTTATTCTAGAATAAGCTGAAGCTCATCGCATTCGAAATCTGGAAGCAATTACTAAGGATGGGAAAGTGGAAATGTATCTTAACGTACACAAGATGGTATGTTTACGATTGCAAATTTCAAAGTAATTAAAATGCATTAGTTACTGACCTACACCTTTAAACACAATTTACCTGTTGCTTAATATAAAATTAACTCTTTCCGTGGGTACATGTAGGAAGACTATACAGGTGCTAGTAGCTTATAAACATTTAATTCTTGCGTACTTAATCTCGCTCGAATAAGAAGAGGCGGCGATTTCATGGACCGAGTAAAGTTTTGCTGATGCTTCGGATATCTGTGTTTGAAGGTATCCAGTGAGTCACTGTATCCGCATCCTTCCCATGAATTTAAACCTCTCCGTTCACTGATGACTACATTTCACCTGCGTGAGGCTGATCGATGGTGACCTTCGCCCCGTTACAGATCGGCGTACATATTGACCATTTCATGTACTTGTTGGACTCCCATACCTCAATCACCGGAAGGATCAGCCGTTGTCGATGTTCTTTTAAGTGACTTTCGGCTCCTTAGGGTCCCCACGTGGTAGGTGGTATGCATTTATATTGGTCGGTTGATTTTTTATGTCAGTGAACAACTTTCGATCGTCCGTCTGGTCATTCTGTCATTACTTCATATGAGCAGCCCCGCTTTCCCTAAAGCAAAACCGTTATTTGGCGTTTGTACGTAATCCGTTAGATAAACCAGCTTAAGCTAATGGTTGATCCGAAGATGATGTTCCTGTACTACTGTACCCAGACGTTTTTCACTTGTTTACCAACAGGCAAATTAACTCGCCTAAAATTACATCACCCCAAATTTTGATAATTATCAGGCAATCTTACCGGTGGTGAACCTCGGGGAGGTCAATGTTCCGCAGCTGCCAAATTGCACGTGTGGAGCATGGCTACAAAACGAGACAAGCGGCAAGACTAACTGAATCAAATTTAACACAGGCATCAAACGCAATGCTGTGATGATGGAAACGAGGTTTACGAAATTGCACTACAAAACTCCTTTAAGTCCATGATCTCGCCTTGAGTTCTTTGTGTTCCCCAGAAGATATTGGCAGCGGAAAAATATCCCTGCATGGAACACTAACCCACTTAATTATGTGCAAAAAATAGGGCTTACATTTTACACAACGTATAATCTAGGAAGGTTTGACTTCGACTAAGGAGTTGGCGCGAACGCTTGAGACTTGGACTGAAGCATGCAACATTTCTATGAATTTAACCATTTTAGTTTTATGTAAGCTTATCATGCAGATGTAAATTGATGAATACTGGTGTTTGCACGGGGACTTTTGATGGATTGACAAAACGAGAACTCATGGTGACCCAATGCGCTCAATTGCATTCGGTTGATGTCCCTAAAAACAGGCCATTTATTATTTTTCGAAATTAATTCATCAAATCTTCATTTGAAACAAACGCATTAGATATAGCAGAGGGTAACTGTTCTTGTAAATTTTCCGGTTTCTCTTCGATTAATCTATGTCTGGAAACAGCATATTATATGCAATAATTGCGAATTTGAATTACTAAAAATGCACAGTAGGAAAGGTGACTATGCATCTTGGAAATAAAATGCGGCCGAAATCCAATTTTCGGGTTATCTCTACGATCAGAATAGGAATGTTAGAATAGGTAGAGCTCTGGAATTTGCTGCAAGGCGGACGGTGATACGGCTTGCACTTATTGACAAGCCAAATCAAATATCCTCTGTGTGCTTCGTTGTATTGCAGCGGACTTCCAAAACTACGAACAAATTACGCCAAAATCTATGCAAAATCTGTCCTTTTGGAGAATACATCTTAACAAAAAAGAACAAAACACGGCGTCTGAATGAACGCTCGACAGCACTAGCGGATAAACTGTTGACGAAGCATGTGGAAATTCGTGCAATGGTCTCAGAATGGCGGTTAGTAAAACGTATCGACGGGCGGCGATTAAACAGGTTGTGTTCGCATGGAAAATCCTAATTGAGATATGTCCTGCACAAAGAGTTGGCCGATGGACCCGGTATGTCACTGATTTCGAACCCGTTTGTAACTTTTCAAACGCGCCTTATAAAACGGGCTTAAGTTCATAGGGCTATATCGATAATTTCATCAAGGAGATTAAGGCTCAACAGTTTGTTTTCTACATGTGGCCTTTTTTTTCTTTGCCTTGTATTTAATCTTACCTACAGTTGAAATTCTGGTTAGTCGCTTACCCACCAGTTCGCTTATCAAGCGTGTATACGAAGTATTTTGTCGATCACTACGCTCAATATTTCCCTCGAATTTTCTGATTCCACATCGTGGATTATTGAATAGGAGTAATTGCGACAGATCAGTTCAGTTCAGTTTTATTAGGGAAAAATAGGTAAATACCTTTGAACTCCCTCAATGTACATAGCTATGATGCAGAACATGTGGCGTTGCCAGCAATGGAACTGCGTCAGGGGGGCGGACAGTAAGAAAAACTCCTAAGGCATTTTTCATCAGTCTAGTTTTGATGCCACTTGTGGGATTGTAAGGAGAAAAACTGTCGCCGGTGGGGGGGAAGGCGAAGGGTATATGTAAAACGGATGTCCTGCTGCGGAAAGTGTTTGAATCATGTCAGAAGGAGGCCATCGTGGTTGTTCAATATCCGAATGGTCACAGGAGGAGAAGATTGCGGTGGTCAGGAGAACATCACCGAGTGTCGGAGATGCGCCCATCATACGCCCTTGCTGGTTGCCGGGTCTGCCGACCAGATGTCGGAGCACGGAGTTAATCTTTTATTCTAAACAAACATATTACTGAAAAGTAGCGAGCAGTATGTTTTTTTAAAAGGTAATTTCTGCCAGAGAAGCCTAGTGGCAAATCTTACTTGCTGACGGGCGGAAATGTAATTAGTCTAGCGTCATTACAGAAAAAGTCGTTTTTATGCTTGTCCAATTGCATCTTAAACGTTTCCACAGATAAGGACATGACAATGTATGTGC